AACCCCCTGAAAATTGGACTGAATTACCGCTGAATAAGAATGCTGCAGATGCACTGTTGATAAATTAAGGATCCCTTCAGATCCACTCCTTTCTCTTACCAGGGAAACAAAAACTTGGAGGCCGTGTCTACACTGGCGCGATCTTGCGCAAAAGCGGCCACTCTTGCACAAAAAGTTGCTGCCTGTCTACACTGGCCATGTGTTCTTGCGCAAGTAAACTGACGTTCTACTGTATGAAATCAGGGCTTCTTGTGCCAGAACTCTGATGCTCCCGCTCAGGAATAAGCCCTTTGCGCAACTGTTCTTGCACAAGAGGCCAGTGTAGACAGGCAACATGAATTTCTTGCACAAGAAAGCCCTATGGTTAAAACAGCCATCAGAGCTTTCTTGTGCAAGAGAGCATCTACACTGTCATGGATGCTCTTGAGCAAAAGCGCATGCCAGTGTAGACGTTCTCTTCTGGAAAAGTTTTTGCACAAGAACTCTTCCGCAAAAAAGTTTTTGTGTAAGAAGCTGCCAGTGTAGACGTAACCGGAGTGATGACTGTTTGAGCTAGCTTTTCTTTTGATGGAAGGTAGTAGGTAGGTGTTATTAACCACAGTGATTCTGGCATTCAGGATTTCTTCTTCTACCACATTAATGGAAATCAATATTCACCAAACAATTGGATGTCTGAAGCTATAGAACACATCAATGCTAAGCACTACAGAGGCTTAAATATCCCATTAAAACATTCTCGCAGCTGATTATTAAGCACACTCCAAGCAGCTTTCTAAAGCCACATATTCTGGTCACAATACATCGGCGCTGGTAGCATCAGTGCTTATTATGACCACAGAACACAAGCAATGGCCAGCATCTCTCTCAATACTGAACTCGGATGCCCATGGCTAAGCCGGGCTGAGAATTGCAGATGCCGTGAGTGTGAATGTAACACCCATGCCAGGAAGAGCAAATTGTATTATTTCTTGGCTGCCAGAAAAGGGAAAGGAACCAGCAGAGTACACAGGACTCCAGCTGCTAAAATTGGCCTTGAACGCTTATTTCTTGGCTGCCAGAAAAGGGAAAGGAACCAGCAGGGTACATGGAACTGCAGCTGCTAAAATTGGCCTTGAAGGCCTCAGTGACATGAGGCAGGAGCAGACCTTGAGAAGGCACACACATACACCACCCTGTTGAATAGACTGGGTTTGTTCACGTTGTGACGAGACAGCTGCCCCTCAGTGGCATGAAAGAGGTTAAAACAGCTGTGCGGGAGGGACGTGGCCAGGAGCCAATCACGAGAGGGCTTGAGGCAATCAATCAGAGCCCAGCTCAGGAAGAGCACAGCCTTGCTGCATCTATGAAGGGAGAGGGACCATGAGCCTGAGGAGCTCAGGCCTGAAAAACACCCAACCCAGCGATAGGGGCCCAGGGAAGTATTAGGGCTGCAAAGAGTAGCCAGGGGAGGAGAAGGCAGCCCTAGTACTTCCCTTGGCCACTGTCACTGGGCCCTTGCCAATGACGAGCAGCCACTTCAGACTGCAGTTTTACCCTGAGGCAAGGGCCAGATGATGACTGGCAGTGGGTCACTAGGTGAGTGGGGTTCCCTGGGAGGGGACAACCCCAGTGTGGGGGGGCACTGCTGTGAGTCAGTACCCTGAGGAAAGAGGGGGAGATGGGTCCTGACAAGCGTGGGAGAATGGACAAAAAGGGTAATAGCGGGAGAGACGCTGCCAGGAGAGGGCACTCTGAGGCTGGACTCAGCTAAGTCCTGGAGTGACCAGGAGATGCTGCAATAAGGAGTCATAGATCATTACAGTGTGCTGTCATGTTAGGCACATGAGTAAGTCTTTGTAGGATCAGAACCTTGTGCCCTATAAATCTTCTGTCCTGGGCAGTATTGGAAGATTGGATCAGTTCCTCTGCTGATAGAAACTGATCCCAACAGCGCTATGCTACCTTTTTTTTTTTAAAGCACCAGCTGAGGACTTGGCCTTGTGCCTAAGTGTACAAAGCAGAGCTAGTCTATTGAGGATGGTCGCATCTTTCAAACAAACAGCAGGGACTCTGCATGCATGTACTGGCCAGGCTCTGCGAAAGTGAGATGAGTAAATCCCTAAAACTGACTTAGATAGCAGCCCTCATATGTGGTTGGCTGGAGCCTGAAGAAATTAGTTCCCTGTCTCATTTGCATAGGAAAATAAATGCAAAAGAGCGCTGTAGGAGATTAGCCAGCTTGCGCAGAAAAAATCCCGACAGAAGCTCCAGAAAAGACATTTACTCGCGTGAGGCTTATTTTCTTTGTTTGTACAGTAGAGGAATGTTAACAGCTGTGAGGATCCTTTCCCTTCCACGGGACTGTTCAGGGGAATCTGCCATGCCTGTCGTCTTTGCCTGGGGTGACAATCTGCAAGGCCTCTCTCGCTAGGTTTTCGTTACCTTCATTTAGGACCTATCTTTCTGCTGCTTAAGCCTCTTAACACTCCCCCAGTCTACTGCTGTACCAATTTATGTGACTTTCAGCCTGCAGCTAAAATTAACCATGGGATGGTGTGAAGGAACATGCCCTACTAGTGTGAAGGAAAAGACTAATAAGCTTTTCTGGCCTGTTCACCCCTAATGAGATACATCTGCAAGACTTGCTCAGCCCAGATAGGAGCTCAAATGAAGAAATTTACCACAGGAAGGGACAGGGAACAGGCATTCCAGCCAAGGAGGAGACAGCCACAGGCTCCCAAAACAGCATGCCTCAAGAAGAGGGACAGAGACTGATGGATTAAGCCTATAGGGCTAAGTCCCCAGGAACTGCCTAAGAGACTGGCCATCTTTCCAGCTTCGTTCTTGCCAGGGGAGGAGAAGCCAAGTCTTTGCTCCAAGCCTCCGTCCTGGTTCCATTGTCCACTGGGTACTCTCTCTTTACCATGCATTTACCTCAGTTCCCCAAGAGGGAGAGGGGGCAAAGCAGTTAAAGTCTATGTTTTTCTTTCATTTTGAATAGCTCTTCTGAGCATAAGCAGCGCTGCAATTTAAACACCTTCTAATGTAAAAATTACTACAGTACACCCATGCTGTACCTTGTGTGCTCTGAATTCTAAGTACCACTTGTAAAATGCACATAAAGACATATGCAAATATCATTGTGATTTAGGATGAATTACTTTGTGTTAATGTTTGGTTTGTTATTTGCCCTGCAGGGTTATTTTAAAATGTGTTAGAAGGGCTTCTAGCCTGTGGCTCTTGTAATACAGAGGGTCAAACTAGATGATCACAGTGGCACCTTTTGGCCTTAGAAATCATTTTTAAAATTCACATGGCAAATGAATTATCTAAAAGTCTATTAAAAACTCACAGAATCCCTTTCTTCCACAATGGTATGTTTGGGGATTATTAATACTAACCGAACAGTGTGGCTGCATCTAGGCTGGCAAGTTTTTCCGCAAAAGCAGCTCCGTTTGCAGCTGTCTACACTGATCGCTTGAATTTCCACAAGAACACTGACTTCCTACTGTCTGAAATCAGTGCTTCTTGTGGAAATACTATGCTGTTCCTGTTCGGGCAAAAGCTTTTGCGCAAAAGGGCCAGTGTAGACAGCTCAGATTTGTTTTGCACAAAAAAGCCCCGATCGCGAAAATGGCGATTGGGGCTTTTTTTGCAGATAAGCGCGTCTAGATTGGCACGGATGCTTTTCTGCAAAAAGTGCTTTTGCGGAAAAGCATCCGTGCCAATCCAGACGCTCTTTTCCGCAAATGCTTTTAACGGAAAACTTTTCCGTTAGAAGCATTTGCGGTAAATCATGACAGTCTAGACATAGCCTGGGAGTGAAAGCTTGGCCTCACTGGCAAAACTCCCCTTGACTGGGATTTCGCACAATGTATTTATAGAGGGAAGTTTTGGACCTGCTTTTACCATCTTAAGCATCAACAATACAAGGTGAGAACACGTCTTTGGACAAGAAGCTAGGCTGTTTCTCCACCCTGATGCAGTGCTGAGTCTCAACAGAGAGGATGAAGGTGCTGGCTTTCTGAAGCAGGCAGTTTGACTTTAATCTGTGCTAACTCCATCAGTACTGAACACATACCTAATGGTATGTGTCTCTCAACTACAGAAAGTTGAAATTAGGGACAAGTCTAGTTAAAAGGCATAGACAAAGCCTCCTTGAGGAGCGTACAAAATAGCTACTGGCATGCAATGGGGAACACCAGCAGAGGTATTAATTTGAAATACTGTAGGTTTTTTGTGGTTTTGCATCTCCGTGTGCAATAACAGTAAAAAACCATCACAAGTTATACTAGTTGGAGCGTTTCAAGTGTATTCTAGTTTGTACTGGAAGATCAAATAAAGAATGAATTCTCTTTCTTCCATGAGGGTGGGCCTCTCCAGTTTTCTTGGAATGCCCCTTTATTGAGGCTTTCCTAACCCTCTCTTTAGATGGTTTGTTCTAGGATCCAAAATCCTCAGAATGGATCAAAGAAGAGTAGATTCATCTTTTTCGGAAACGAGATATGGTGAACTGATATTCAACTCTGTTGGGAAAGAAATGGTGAAAGTGTGAGTCTGTTTGTTCTCATTCTAACAGAGAACAACCTCTTTCCAGTAAGCATGCTTCCTGAATTCTATCAGCTGTACCCTAGTCCAGAATATCAAAGACTGAAAGCTATGGTCACTTCTGGAGCCATCTGTCTTTTAGAATAACTACATTTCCTCCCCCCGCCATCCCAAGCTTAGTAATAATTGAAAATATTAAAATGCTAGTAGACAAAGAAATTTCATAAAGCATATAAATGCATTCATTCACTCCATCTCGTTAGCATAATCAGCAGACTTAACAATGTAACTGATTAACATATTCATTGTTCTTCCTTGGTTTTGCCTTTAGACTTTTACTTCTTTTGGGTTCAAAAAACATCTCAGAATACCTATGCTTAACAAGTTCTCCTGCACAATTATGTAGAACAATGGAAACCACTAAACATTGTAAGGATTTCACTGTATTCCATGGAAGCTTCAAAAGTACCACAGGAAAAAGCTATATAAGAACCAGATTTATTTATATATTTAACGTGATTATACACATTCATGTGTCTAACAAGATCTGCACTGTTACATTAAAGATACAGTACAATAACATTCAACATGAGGTACTTCATATTTATATGTCTGTCCTTCATAAATAATGTTGTAAGCCTAAGGTCAAGCATAAGTGGGTGCCATGACCTGACATCAGCTGAGTTTATCACAACAATAAAAAAAAAGTTCAGTGCAATAAGTATGTAGAAATTAGAACATTTAAATATTTTCTGATATGCTTACAGCATATTACATTACAATGCCCTTAGTTCCCCTTACCAGCAAAATCAATATACAAGTAGTAAAGATTGCCATAAAATATCATCTACATAATGTTCTTTTTGCTGGAGTCGTATTTATATTCAAGCTTGTACATCGGGTGCTTTCAAAATATAAACTGACATTTTCAAGCATGGACAAGTAAAATTAGTTGACCAGATCTACAGTCATATTTAGGCACCCAATTAAATGGCCTGATATACAAAACTATTTGGTAACAGCAGATTCCATTTACTGCAACGGGCTTTCTGATGTCACTTACTTAGGTGTCTATTTATTTATTGAAGCTTATTTTGTCCAGAAGCGGGAACAGATTCAGGGGAATTAAGCAAGAATCTGAGCTTTCATCCTACATTGTCAAAAATATTCAAGGATAACAATTAAAAAGACCTAACTTTCTACATATCGTAGGAATATGTTATTTTGATCCCTTAACCATCTGTTCCTGCCAGTCAGTTTAATAGATGCTAAACCTTTATTTGAAGATAAGTTAAAAACACCATAAAACTAGAGCCAATCAAAGACTGGCCTATCCATACTAGTAGAGTACAATTTCGTCCCACTGTGAGGCACATAACTCTGTTATAAATGAATTGAATCAGAGTGCAGCTATTTAACAATGTTACAGCAAATAACTATCACTCTACCCTGTAAGCATCATTCAGACAGAACCGTTATATCTGTCAACCATTTTGACCACAGTAACTTGGCCAGTCTTTGCTTCAAAGTTTATTTTAAGTCCACCTACCGCTCAGATCTCTAAAAGTAGATGACTCTTATCCCCTGACAATCTTACATTCCTTTATCATCTCTTCAATAAATATTTCCCAATCCACAAAATTATACTGCATGTATGTTTTTGGTTGCTGAGAGATCTAAATATTTAGATCTGAAGCTTTTTTTTTTTAAAGTCAGTTTTTCAGGGAGCATCCGGTTCAGATCTCACAAGGAGGCTGGTGTAGGTACATCTGTTATAAAACAGCATTTTCTATATATCTGGAGGGTATTTAAATAGTTCAGAGAGAATGCATATGCTCACATACTTATTCACTGTAATGGTTACAGTTTTAAAGAATGTGGTTATTGCAAAACAGTCTTCCCCTCACTCTTCATCATCCACCGAGCATGGAAGGGCCTGACTTTGGCCTTGGGGGTTTTTGATGCCTACTTCAATCCTGTTTCCATTACTCCAGGTCATGTTTTGGACACTGCAGGAAGCATGCTGGCACTTTGAAATGGCTGGTGGCCAAGATTCCAGCAGTCAAGAAGTGCTTAGAGTAATAATATTAATAAGAAATCATACGAGGAAAGTAGTTCCAGAGTAAAACTAATAATTAAATTTAATGTAGCACAGACATTTGTCCTTAGCCTGGCCAAAGAATCATTTGGTCCTCTATTTTACTTTAAAATATGGAAAGCAAATATAACCACTTCAGAGGTATTACAAAGGTGAGACATTACCTTGGTAGTATCCTCTATAAACAATTTTCACAATCTAGTGATTAAGTATTTTCTTTTCAAAGTGTGAATTTTATTTTAGGAAGTTAAAACGGTACTCGGATCTTTTATTTATACTGATTTCCTTCCCTCTTAAACAGTAATGAGTTTATATAAAGGGATTACAAACAGGACTACAGAAAGCTTGAAAAGTAATTGGGGGAGGGAGAAGAAATAGTTTTAACTTAAATGTGGAATGGAGGATTGTGTGGTTCAAAAGCTAATTGCAAGAAATTAGACAAATTTCCCTGCATTGTATTACATTTGGTGCTCACCACCAGACATAGACTATAGCAAGAAAATTCCCAAGAGTGGATTAATTATCTTGAGTTAGTTTGTAGCAATAATATAATAAAGCTCCCATTAAAGAGAAGGAAAATGTAGCTCAGGACTGTTTTGTTCTATAGTTACTCTACAATATTTATTTTTACAGGGGAAAAATCCCCTTCCAAATGCTCTAGAACTATTTAGGAAAAATAACTGTAATTAACCAATCCTTTGCCTATGCGAGATATCACCATCCTGCTATTTAGCAGAGGGCCAAGGACAGCAGTTTTAAAAGCATCACAGTATAATATTGTAGCATTTGGTAAAATGGGTAAATGCTTCAAAGCCACCTACACAGTTTGAGTACACACATGTATTTCCCAGTCTTTAAGGAATGACTCAGAAGGGGAGCCCAAGGGGGGTGCTGGTGGGAAAAGCTGCATGAGCCCAGCTCATTCTGGCTGCAAACATGATTCTGCATCTGTGGATAAAGCAGTATGTGGCTTGAATGCTGCCTGCCAACCTTCTCTCCCCCTCTTCTCTTGCAGCCATCCCCAATACAGCTGGTCACATATGGGACTGGGTTACCTCTAAGGGGGCTGCTACATGTTCACACACAAGCTTTTTTTTATCTGCCCCCATAATACTTGGCTCGGTTGTTAGAACAAAAGCAACCCACCATGTGGAGCCCCTTCTCTGACTCTGAGCAGCGTGTAGCCTTCTGGAGGATTGGGGAGCACCAAACAAGAGACAAAAAGTCATGATAATCAGAGAGCAAAAAGATAAGAAGGAAAAAAGAATTGAGATGGAAAAAGAAAATGGACCAGACGAGGCAGTATCCAGTGCATGTGGGGCTATGTGGGAGGGCATAAATCTGCCGATCCATTGCAAGTAGGGGCATGTCAACAAGACAGGCTGTGGGCTTAGGTACATCTGTCTCAAACAAAGCTTTAGGAATTTCCTTGCTCTTAAGAGCTTCCAGTTAAGGTTGAATGTTACATTTACATTTCATCCCCCAAAAGGCTACCAGTACCGCAAGCAGTGACTGCTCACAGCTTTTAGTTACATATTATCTGTGCTGATCACATCTGGAGACAAGAAGCTAAGCATCAGTAGGCCTGAACCAGATGTGTACTTCAGGTCAAACTTTCTCTGGAAATAACTTCTGCTCAGGCATAGAATATGAGTTCTGGAATCTGCCCTCCCTGCACTCCAGTGCCATTGGTACTGTCTGAAGAGCACTGGAACTGAACAGTTACCTTCCCACACTGAACTTCAGTCATTCCTTCTTGTCCAAAATAGCTTAGTTCATTGCCATCCAGAATCACACTAGCTGTATAAAAGGTATCGGGCTCAATCTGCACCGGATACTCAAACCACACTGGGAAAGTGTTGCTAGAACCATCTGAGAAATACTTGCTTAAGTTCTGACCTAGGATAACACCTTGGCGTTTGAGTTCAATCTTTGCACTGTATTCTGCCGATCCACAGCTAGAGCCATACAGCCCAAAGCCAGCAATGAAAACTCTCTTATCAACAGCAAACTGGATGCTGTCGCACCGGCCCCTGTACCGCCACTGGTTGCTGCGGTAGGCGCAAGACTGGAAACGGTGGCAACGCTGGGGGACCAGGCCCTTCCGGGCATTGCTCACAAACTCTAGCTCTGGCTTTTTGGCAGCTGTGTACCAAAGGAAGATGTCGTTGGTTTCATTGAGAGTCAGCACCCCGGACTGAGCAGCGCCGTTTGCAAAGTCATCGAGCGCCATGGTAGGGATGCGAATCAAGTAGAGAGCCTTCCCTAGAACCTTGCGTTTATTTTCTATGCTAACAGGTAAGTCCTGCCGTTGACACTCGACTTCAGCCCAGTTCAGAGCAGCTTCAAAAACAACAATTTCTTTGGCATTCAGAGTCTCCCTTTGGAGGATGCTTTCAAGCGTCTGAAAATCAATATCGCAGAACCCCTCCGATTTCAACGCCAGCTCTGCCTGGGCGTCAATCACTTCCCAGCAGCGCTGGGTCAGGTCAGGTTCCTCAAATAAGCAGCTCTGGGAGAGAAGCACGCAGGCATTCTTTGCACTTAGGCTCGTCTCTAGGAAGTTGACACAAGCTCGGGCAAGATGAGGAACGATGTACTTCTTGGCGGCGTAAAGAGTGGCCAGCACGGTATCAGCAGCTAAGTCAATTTCATCACAATATATGTATCTGAAATGAAATATGCACATGTAACACTGCTGTTTAGTAAAACAACAATGACTGTCAGTAACGCATGAAAACTGGAAGCACAGGGCACTTGAGTGGTGCAAAGCAGTATTAAAACTAAGAAATATCTTCTGGAACAATCAAATAAAGGAACTACAGGCCCAACTCATCCATGGACTAAGTTCATCAAAGTCAATGGGCTTACACCAATGGTGAATTGGATCTTTTATTGGATTTTCATACTACACAAAGAAACTGATAAAAAAATACTACCCCATTCAGTCCCATTTCTTCCAAATTCAAGAATTATTACTTTCAATAATGAGGTAGAGAATGTACTTTAAGTGGTCAATCAGCAATGGCAATATGGTAGTGAGTGTGATGTATTTATATCCAAGCAAATCTGGGAGGGGCAATTCCAAACAAGTGACTTGATTAAGGAAAATTTGTCACCCCCCCCAAAACAGTTCATGTCAATCAAGGTTCTTGAAGGATTGGCTTACATGGCTTACAGCAATAGTTAATACTGTCTAGGACATGACCTTCAAGTGGAAAAACTGAAATTTCCTTTGAGGTACTATATGGTGACTTTATGTGCAAAGGAAAAGAAAAAAGTGAGTTTTTCCAGCAATAACAAACACTTCACATCAGATACGGGTGCCAAGACAAACTGGTTTAATATCTAGGCTTTTAGAAGTGTAACACTATCAAAATACATCACACACCATGTATCATCATGCCACAGCTGCTAAGATTTGCAATACATTGATGAAATCTTAGACAAATAACTTCAGATTATAAAGAAGTATGTCATGTGTTTATTAATGCTACAATATGCTAGCTTCCCCCCAAAAAATGTATCCTCACACTTTTCCCAGAGAAAAAAACATCAAGCTCTACTGCCATGTCAAAAGAGAAAAGATTCAGCTATCTTTTGTTTACATGATTAAATTCTGAGGTCCACTACTGCTGGGGAAATAATGAATTAGGCACTTTGTTTTTACTATCTCAGACATTAGGCCCAATCTATGCTGGGTAAATTCATTCTATCAGAAACAATGTTAAACATAATTTTGCCTTTAGAGTGAACAAAGGAGTTATGTTTAAAAATATGTGTGTTGGTTGTGGCTGATGAAAGTTCTTTTCCACACTGAAGGCAAAATTGCATTTCATGCCAATGAAAATGTGTTAGTGAACTGGTTTTCTAAAATGATGCATTTTCCCAAAATACACAGAGCCTAGGAGAATAAATGAAATGACATTTACTGGATTAGTATCAACCCTGATCTCGGAATGGCTGTTTTTGTCTTTACTGCAAATACGTATACATCTTGTTTATTGTTTGGTTTTCATGAATCAGGGTATGGCAGACTTGGGCAGATTTCCAGTTAATGACGGGAAATTAGTAATGGACAACATGTAATGGGGCAGAAAACAACACCAACTATGAATTGTAGAGAAACTGGGGTCAAATACATTTAGATAGATTTTTTTAATATGCCTCTAAAAATGCTATTCTAAGCGACACTTGGAAAATTTCTGTTTAGAGCAGGGGTGGGGCACCTCAGGCCCAGAGGCCAGATCTGGCCCCCAGCTTGCCTGGATCCGGCCCCCCAGGCTCATTGTCTCCCCAGCGTTGGGGAGCCTGTAGTGGCGCTCCAGCCTCCCAATGCCCCATTATGGGGCTGGAGCACCCAAAATCTACTAAGACGTCCCCCGTCCTCCCCTTAGGCTCTGGTGTGAAAGGGGAATATGGGGAGCGTCCTTCTCTCTGTCAGGGGCCACATCAGGAAGAGCATTGCTTTTTTCCCCTTCTTACTTGTGTGTGGCCCCTGATTGATTTTTCTGTGGCTCAGTGGCACCTAACCCAAAAAAGGCTCCTCACCCCTGGTTTAGAGAATATAACCATCAAGATGATGCAATGAAATGTAGGAAGTAATGAAGAGAAATACTAACACAGGACTGAACCTTGCAACCTTTAGTGCTTGACTTCAGTGAGACTACTTGCAGGAGTAAGAAATGCTCTTGAAGAGATGATGGTAAAAACAAGAAAATATGTAGATCTTTAGGAACCCAAGCCTGCAATTTATGCTCTCATATTTGTTCCATTTTATAAGTCTCCTACTTAACCTCCAACTTCTTCTTTCTGTTTCTCCCTCTCTGCTTGTTAATACAAAAGAGTAGGGTGGCATCTGTTTTAAATTTAAACAGTACAAACATTACAAGCGTAATATTCATGGAAGTGGAGAGCTAATATCACTGTTCTTAAGCAGCCATCGCACAGATAGGCTGTCTGTGGCATTTTTCATTTCTCATTCTGTCAAAGCATCTCTACTCTGATTGCAACTGCTGATATTCCAGTCTATTCCTCGGCCAAGTATGTTACAGCTGCACAGATTGTTGTGATGGGTTAGTTATACACACAAGTTGGATTAGAATAAGACCATGAGTTTAATTTTAATTTATTATTTGAATCCTGGTCTTCAGTGCTAAAGACACTGAGTGCCAACTAGGATGTGTATTTAGCAACATGGAACTCTTTGCATTTGTAAAGCTATAGTAAATAGCTAATCAATTACTACATGCCAATAAGAGATACTACTGAATACTGCATCTGATAATAGGTTTGTCGGTATTTGTCTTCCATGGGTCCACTACAAACACTATTAACTAATACACAAATACAGATTTGTGTATGTCACATTGTAAGAGTTCATAGTTTAGAAAAAAGGTGAATATTTCAAACTCTTTCTTTACAAAGATTACACTGTATTCCTCCTAATTGTAGAAAGGGGTCTGTGGAGAAGAGGATTCTACTAAATGGTCCTCTCATTTCTGCTATGCAGGGATAGTGCAAATTCTCTTCTTTTTCCTGAACAGCCTGCCTTCAGTCTCATGCTGCTGCTTGGGAATGTTTTGTTCATCAGTAGAGGTAGTAGAGCACTCTGCAAATTCAAGGAGAAAGCAAGCACTGCATCAAGTTGTCATTTGGAAGGCAATCTGCACAACCATTATAAGCAGGGTTGCTTTTTTAAGTGAAAGCTTGAATTCTGAAAAAGTTGATGTGTCCTCACTTTTCAGAGAAATGTTCCTAATTTGTTATTGTCAAGAGAATGTGTCAGGCACTTGATTTTGGCATTAAAATCCTTGTTTGCAAGTCTGTCCCACTGTACAAATCTCTTCATGCAAATTTCAAAACTCATTTTAAAAAATGGCAGATAAAACATGGACACTTTCTACACATTGTAACAGAAAAGAAAAAAAAATCAAAGTACATTATATTCATCTCCTGAAGAGAGAGAGTCTATCTTTACAGAGTGAAATGTAGTTAGTCTTAGCTGGATGAAAAACATGTTTAAAATAGCAATGAGCAAAATAAAAATTTGTAATATATTTAATCATATTTTCTGTCATATCATAACTTTGTCTCAATTCCATATTAAAATTACTGAGTGACCTTTGATTTTCATGAAAAGTCATTTGTCAACATGCATCCCAAATACTCCTGATGCTCCTGCTGACAAACTGAAAACTCTGGAGCTGCATGCAACTTTGAAAATTATACCTACCATACCACTGAAATGGAACAGAATAATTGTCTGCATTCACAAATTAATCAAGGCAACCTATGAATTGTATTTAAAAAGTCAACAAGCATTTTCACAAAACCATGCAACAAATCCAATAGCATATTAAAAGGGTCTGGATATTAATCTAAATTAAAATGAGAAACAGTGAGGTCCAGAAGTAACCAATGACAGTTTTAAAAACCATGAGAAAAACCCTCCAAATAATAGTTTGCATGATATAATTTCCATTTGAAATCAAAGTTCATAGTCACAGTCCAAGGTTAATTCAACAGGGAAACAATTAGTATTTAATTAAATCCCCTTCATCCAGTGAAAAAAGCAACACAGTTCCAATTCAGATTTGTAGAAAGAAACCACATATCCAGTGGGGGGAATGAGTTAAAAATAAAAGGGCTGTTTAAAGTAACACATTCCAAATGCCCCTATGCTAAATAAATAAAGAGAGGTTTTACTTTTCAGTGGCTGCATTCAAGAATTCAGATTTTTTGGACAAAAACATAGGGTACAAAAGAGCTAGAACAATGTATGAACCCAGAAATCCAATTTTTCACTATACTTTCAAAGTAAAACACTTTTTTTTATTAGAGCTAACAATTCTTTTAAGTAACTCTCTTCCTTTTTATAGCAAGTGTAGTGACAAATCAAATCAATTGGAATTACAATGTACAATGTGCTCAAAGATCCCTTTTCAAAGTCATTATTTATAACTGCCTACATTAGCCTAATGTTTCTGTGACTAGAAAATAGTGGGGAAAGAAAGTTTAGGTGAAAGTAAGTTTTAAATAATTAAAATATAGCAGACATATTTTGAACAATTACTTAATTTCTAGGTTTATCTGTTTACACAAACATCCAATATTTTAACAGACTATTCCTGCACATATACAGTATAAACAAATACTTTTTCAGCAGAAGAATGATGCTTACTTCAGCATAGCGAGAAAAGCAGCAGGCTCAACATCTGGTATACGAATTTCATCTTTGTCCTCAGCAAGCTCTCCGTAAAACATTGCATGGAATACAGAGCTCCCAACAGCTAAGACATACTGTTGAGAAAGGGAAATCTTACTTCATGCTATAAACAGAAAGCATTGCCAATAAAAACAAGGTGGGAGAACCACTATGGGCACAAAAGCTAGATACTATCATGTGAGAATGAAGGCAAGCTTACTAACAAAATTACACATTTATTTTCCTACCATTTATCTTGTACAATTATGTTTTATCTTCAAAGTTCAAAGAAACATTTAAGTGAAATTTCAAACTTTATTACCTCTAGAAAAATCTTCACATTAACCATAAAAAAGTGACAAAAACCAGTCTTTCCCAGTGTACATAAAGCATCTTTTATCACAACGCACAATATTTAATTGTAAATACAAAGAAAAGTAAAAGTATTTTCCTGGAGAAAGCCATTTAAATATGTATGCCTGTCACAAAGAATCAGAGTCTCCCACACTAAGCTATGATGTTAGAGTTGAAGTAATTCTTGCTATTCCCACGTCTGAACTGATAATGCAGCTGTTGCTTACTTTGTGTCCTGGCAACCGCTGGGTCCCACCTGGTGGCCCAACCACAAAATGAACATCTGCCATCAAGTCATTGTTGAACATCACTGCATTTCTACAGACAGAGGCAATGTGTTAATTCATATAGTCTGGCATCCCATTTCCACCCCAGACACATGAGATTAAGATATTAAAAAGTTTAAAGTAGCATTTCTGTAACAAACCAGCTAGAGACAGACAAACAAACAAAAAATAGGTCACACATTTCTGTCCACTTTGCACATTATCACATATAAATATACTGGTGGAAAACAGATCCAAGAAAAACTTGTGAAAACTTTTAAAAAGTAAAAATTAAAATCAAGAACATGCATTACTAAGACAACAACCGTGTAAGTCAGCATGCAAAAACCGATCAGTTCAATTCAGCAGCTTAGAACAACATTTGTACTACTTCAGGAAAACAGCTGCACTGTCCGGAAAGAGATACTAACATTTTCCCACTAACAAATGCTTGCTTGGGGAAAGGGAAACGCATGTTTTATTTAATATTTATACACATTGAACTCAATGTAACATTGCAAACATAATTTTGCTACAATTCAACACTTCATTTAAACATCAAAAATAAAGTATTCAGAACTTACCTCTCTCTGATGGTGGGATAAAGCCCTTGCCAATTGGGGGCAGGGATAGTGTTATTGTTGTTGAGGTTTTGTTGGTGGTATTGCTGGACAGCAGTTGTATTAGTATTGGCTGGTTTCTTTCTGGGAAAAATATCAGCAGCCATCTTCTTCTTCTTTTTGGTCTTCAAGGTAATGATTTCATAGCAAACTGGAGGCAACTTGCTACTACTGCTGCTGCTGCTGCTGCTGCTGCTATTTCCTTTCTTAGAGCTTTTCTTAGACCTGTTCTTGACTGTCTCTGGAAGCATCAAGAAGAAGGTGAGACATTTCATGTTCTTTCCCGTGTCATCTACCATGAGTATCCTTGTCTGTTCAGCTAGATAACCTAACTAGGTAAGAACATTAAGAAAAAAAAGTGGGAGCCAAGATGTTAAATAAAAAAGCAACAAAGCTGGGATTTTGCTTCCTTTCCAGCAAGACAAGGTGACCTTTTCAGTGTACTGAGTAAGAAACTGGCTTTAAGTTTGATCCAGTATTTGACTTGTTAAATACATCTCCATCATGACTCCCAGTTTTATTTACTTGCAGGCTCTTTTCCAAAATGTCCTGAAACTGAATCACCTCAAAGTACTACACTGTGCAAAGAGAGTATGCATTTAGCTATCGCACTGGCTTTCTGAATTAGGCTAGCAAGATGTGCTGTAGCACTGCTAGTCTGTTCAGCTGGCTGAACTTGTGTGTTGAAAAGATCTGAACAGAGTAGGTATTACAGCCCTGCAGATGGAGTCAGACAGCCAGTGTTTTGAGCCAATAGCTGAAGTCACCGATAACGATTGGACCCAGCAGCACAGTGACACCTATTGTAATGTGCACAGCTCTAATATTAAAGGGAAAGCATTTAATGTGCAGAGTGTATAATAATGGAAATTGCAAGCACAATTACATCAGGGCATGACTAGACAGGAATGTATCAATTCTATGCATCTTTTATCACACTAGTGGTCCTGGAGGGCACTCACATTTTCACTCACAAGGAAATATTTAAATTAAAACTATTGTATTAGAGAGACCCACATTCTGAAGTAGTGAATATTCAATGTCACTCTACTATGTATTTCTATTGAATTCTCTTAGCCCCTTATTAAAAAACAATGGTTAACCAGAGAAGGATATTAATATGAGAACAAAATTAAAGCAAATTAATTTATAGCATAAAAGAGAATGCTGAAGTTAAACAGTGCCTTTTGGTACAATTTATACTCTGGTCCAATATGAACAGAGATGTGGTCACAGCTTTAGCTTTAACTCACTACATTTTTAATTAACATAATAGTCTTTGATATCAGCCCCAAATCACCGAGCAATACTAATTAGGCCGGGTTACACTAGACATAGCTGCACTGCATCAGAAGAAAATTCCTAGATATGCAAATGAGATTCAATCAAATCAAAAGTCCATACATGCAATCAATGTTTCAAAGCTCCAGGTGAAAAAGTGGGTCTTCTCGGAGGTGTTTCAGTCAAAATCATAGTTGTAGACATGAATAAATGCAAATTCCATGAATAAACATTCTGAAATAACAGAAGAATTAGATAACTAAGCCTACCAAAGCCAACCAGTTTTAATATGAAAGAATTGTACTTTTTGGCCACTGACTTGCTCAAGTACTTAAATGTGGAGTTGGGTTAACTATGTATCGAGCTGAGTTTTTCAAAAGTTGGCAGACTAAATTTTTTTAATACAGAAGGACCCCAATCATCAGATACCAGTTCACATTAACCATTTCATATTTTAAATTACCTACTACACAATTCCACAATTTTCTTCAAGTTTATTAGAAAACTAAATCTTGTGACTTTTAGGCCAAACCAAATCAATTTCCCAAGACAATAATACAGCTATGGAAGGGGGAGCTAAAAATACGAAGTGAAATCCTGGCCCCACTGAATGGAATGGAAGTTTTGCCAATGATTCCATTGGGACCAGGATTTCATTCAAGGTATTTAATGAAACCTGGTTACGACGCCAATTTTTGGAGTCATGACCATGGCTCTAACACAAATTCAGGGTGTCTTTAATTCCCATTAATTGGAAGAATTAGCTGCAGGTTGTTTATAGACTGTGAAATTTTCCCTGTGCCACTCCCTTCCCCAAAAGAGTACAGGATGCACTAATTGAGTGGCTCTGTGTTTACTTTAGGGCGGGCCATCAACAGGATTGCATCCCAGCAAGATGGCAGGAATGGAGCAAACTCGTGGATGATCTCTCAGATGCTAAGTCTTTCTCTTTAGTAGGATAATACTACTACTTCACACTTACATAGTATTTTGAATCTTCAGAGATCTGTACAAACACTGAGAAACAGGTTAAATAACCTCAAATGACAGATCTAGCCTAGCAATATGGTTATAGTCTGCCACAGATGGAAGATTGTCAATAGAAAGTATTGTGGGTGGAAGCTGGCAGTCTAGGTCATGTTTGTCTCAATGGAAAAAAATGCACTCTGTAGAAATTTCTCACTACAAATCAGATTTAGGGAATTTATAAAATGGGGTAACGGGTAGCAACTTTTTTGTAAAATTGAAGGGTTTTTTGGGGGTTTTTTTAAAGACATCTTCTAGCCTTTTTAGTTGTGAAGATAACCTTCTGGATGTGCAATCTTTTCTTTCTAAATCTCCCTAAGAAAGACATTTCACAGGAATAAGGCTTCAAGTTTTACAGATACAATTACGTGAATGTTCTAGCAAATACTCCAATGATCTGGTCTTCAACATAACAGTCTGGCAAAAAGGAGAAAATAAAATAATATGCATGAGGAGTATGAAGAGCTAGAAGAGGAGATTAGGTGTGAAAAAATCCATTGTATTAAACATTATTCAAAACACTATAAAGGATTTTCTCCTCCTCCCCCCAATCAATTTTCTAAAAGTAATCCAGAAATTATGCTCAGAATTATTTCTAGATTTCCAGTGGCCCTATCTTGTAACTATTATGCATTTCTTAAAGAGAATAAAAATACCCAGGAAGATTTGGTAAACTCAGGGTACGTCTAGACTACATGCCTCTGTCGCCAGAGGCATATAGATTAGGCTACCAGGCATAGGAAAATGAAGCGGCGATTTAAATTTCTGCTTCATTTAAATTTACATGGCTGCCGCGCTGAGCCGACAAACAGCTGGTCAGCTGTTTGTCCGCTCAGCGTGCTAGTCTGGACGCTCCCCTGCTGACATCAAAGCCCTTTGTCAGCAGCCCCGGTAAACCTCATCCC